CGTTGAAAGGCTCCAATGCCCTCCTCGCGTGGCCCCCATTCGATTTGGAGCGTCCCCGCCTTGCCCGCCCCGCCCCGCCGCTTGGCTCGCGCTTCCTCCCCGGCTCCACTCTGCCACGCCCCGCCCGGCCCGTGCGATGCGCCGCCGATGGGCTGCTGATGGCTCCGGTTAGCTTCCTCGACATAACCCCCCTGCTCCTGCCCCCAGGCGTGCAAACGTGACTAAATAATTCCTCCTTGGCGTCCTAAAAGATTGTCGGTGCGCGCGCGCGCGGCTCCGAGCAGCCGATACACCCGGGCTAGAAGGGGGAGGGGGCCGCCACGACTTCCGGAACAACACAGGAGCAGCCGCGGGAGGTCGCTGGCTGATCAGCCTGGCCCTGCTGTTCCTGTCGCTATACCGCCGCCGTTGCTTCTTGGAACCCCTTACAACAGCAGCAACAACACCAACAACTATACAAAACCTTAGAAATCACGACGAAAACACGCCGAAGCGCTCGCCTTCTTTCGCCTAGCTCCCAATCGCTCGCAAAAAAAAACATGATCGGAACACGGATCCGCAGCGTACAGTACGGGTCGTGCACCCCCCCCCCCCTTTCCCCCTCAGCTGCTCCCGCGGCGGTCCGAGAGTAAGTACAGGATAAGGAGACCGCGCCGCGCTGCATTTTCCCAGTTTCTCTTTCGGGTACGATACGTCGCCGTGCCCGTCGTTTGCCGTCGTCGTGAAATGAGAATCAGATCACAGGGTTTCCAACAAAAGAGCCGCCATTTAGCATCGGAAACAATGGATCACGGGCGGCCCGACTGCGCGACGTGCGCGCGCCCCTGACGGTGAGAATGAGAACCGCGCAACTCTTTCCCCCTTCTCCTCCTCCTCCACCAGCCTTTTTTTTTTCATCACTTTTTTTCATAGAAAAATGTTTAGGGCTCGATTCTACGTTCCCTCCCATCCTCCTCTCTATAATTACCACCACCAGGGGGAAAGCAATAGGCTACGCAGGCGCTGCTTGGCGCCGCCGCGAGGCAAGGCGTCAGCGCCGGGCGTTAGCGCCACTCTCTGACTCATCCATCAAACACCAGCTTGAGGCTGCTTGAGGCGCCGCGGAACTCCGATAAGGTCTCCGGTCTTTACCTTTGTGCCGACGGCTGCCTGTCTCTACCTACCACCGCCCGTCCGGACGCTGCACTGCACATCCGACTTCTAAATCAAATAGTTTTACTTATTCTCTGTCGCCGAGCCAACAAAGTTGCGGGGAACAATCATCCGTCATCCGCGCCATCTGTCTCCCTAGATTTTATGAGCGGGCAGAGTGCACACTCAACCATTTGGTGGTAAAATCGCATAACGGGGCGCAATTAACTCGCAAGAAAAACCAACATTAGTCGCCTGCAAGCCGCCAGGTAGGCCATCCCGCACTACACCGAAGCGTACTGAATTGATGTGGCCTACCCACCAGGCGACGTGAGCGTCGATACCGACTGAGGTGCCTGACAATAGTGCGAACGTGACAAACTGCTTTACCCTCTCTGACTTTGACGCGTCTCCTCCCCCAATACGTTCAGCAAGGTACCCACCTGAGGTACCTGAGAGGGCTGAGGCTGCTTCCTGCTTCTCTCCGTTGCTTCCTGAGCCAATGTGTGCATATTTCTATCACACTCAGTACACTGAAAATCCGATGGAAATCCGAAAATAACTAGTAGCACACCTGCAACTGAGCAAAACAACAATTAGCTCATCTGCAAGTGAGCAATGAAGAAATCGCTCACATTGAATGACATTGGGATGTGAATGAGTACCTGTTGACAGTTAAAATTTAAAATGTTTGTTCCGTTGGAACTCC